ATCTTAATTGTTTCAGTCAATAAAACTATTAGAAGTTTATCTACATAAGACTGATAAACAAGCAAACACAAAACATTTACCTTGATAAATTGAAATTAATATCCACACAAAGAACGTCTTGTAGGAAAGTGATCGACCCTTACAAAGAAACAAAAAATGTGGGTTCTTAGTTCTGCAGTATATATTGAATATACAGTATATTGTAGCTAAAAAATAAAATTGTACTTAAAGACTAGAATGATTCATTGTTTTATTGCTACAAGCTGGTTTCGTATGGTCATCAGAGATGGCCACACTCGTCAGGCAAGTTACAATGAATGAATGACCGTTAAGGTTTTTTAAGTTAAGGTATATTGTAGCTATATATATTAATTAGGTAAATGATTGCCTTAAAGGTTTTGAGCTAATCATATTGTCATAGAATTAAAATAATCTTAACACAGTAGTTTGAGAGCTTTCAGCATGAATTCATTATATAATTAAACATCTAAACATCTAAACATCTTCTTCTTGCAACCAACTTACTTTAGTCAAATCTTTATAAAGTTCTGGATACAACAGTGCCTTGTCAGCAGAAACATCAACGTCGAGCACAAGAGAGAAAACAGGGAACATGGTGTATGCTGTAGCATAACTAGAGAGAAAAAAGAATATCAAGATATTGGAATACAAACACAATATTTATGTACATTTTAGCCTCCTGTAGTATAGCCTGTGAGAAGATAGTGTGAATACATTATGATGAACCCTGTTTGAATTTTGTTTTAGTTAACTAAATTTGTTGAAGTCTGTTTCACAACACTGTTGGATAATTACAGATGATCCTCGACTGTAATGTAAAATCATTGAATCACTTACCCAACCATAAGAAAGCCTTGATAAAGAGAAACTGATACAAAATAGAAGACACACGAGAACACAGCCTGCAAGAATACAAAACCTGAATCAAAAACATTTGAAATATGACTATAAAATAGTGTGTTTTTGAAGTTTTTGATTGATTTTTTGCTCTTAACATGCACAGTACAGACAGAAGGACACTGCAGAAAAGTCATAAATTCCAAAAAAATGCAAAAAGACAATGAGCATGCACTTACAGATATTGCAAACTAAACTTCAATCCTGCCGTACCTGCATGACAGATATGATTAATCCTCGATGAATAACAAACTGACTGAGAGCAGCTGACCTCTTGTAACTAATAAAAACAAAAATATAGTACTCTATTAATTTACATATATATTATTCTAATTTTTAAGCCAGTTTTAAATTCCCAATCATAAAAACGAATTTGTGAGTTTTCACACTTTAGTCATATTCAGTAATCAACAGGTGACATCAATCGAAACCCATCAATCAGTTGTTAAACAAGTCAAACCTGTTTCTGCCATGCCAAACAAGTAGCCGACCAATGTTTTTAAACTGTGTGATGGAGAAATCTGAAGCCAAAGATGCTTGTCGTCCCTCCTGTGAAAACGTGATAAACTTGTCAAACTGTATTGACATGATGATGATTCTAACATATTCCCAAGAGATTACAACTATATATAGCTAACCTTGCCCTCTATTCCAATGCCAGCATCGGCAGCTTGGATCATGCTAACATCATTACCTCCATCACCTTTGAAACCAAGATAGTTAATTAATAAATATTGCTTTTTAATTGATTGACAGTTATTATAGCTTATTGAGGACTAAAAGTTGGCATTTGTGGTTAAAATTCAACAACGCCTGGCATTTTTTTTAGTTGTGTGCCTCCTAATGGACTGATTCTTGATATTGTAAAATGTCCAAACTTCAAGGAGCTCAGACCAAAGTTTTTTTTAAAATTTGTCAGGAACTTTGAGAATTGTATCGTCAAAATTTTGAACACTTTATGACTTGTTTGCCTAACTTAATTTTTTTTTWAAATTAAACATGTCAAGTGTCCTTTGGAAGAGTTAACAAAAATTGGTTATTTTCTTTGTAAGGAATTACCTATCGCACAAGTTCTTTTGCCTGTATGTATTTGTACAAGGCGTACAATGTCAGCTTTCTGTTGTGGTGAGCAACGACAGCATACAACCGCTGGACAGTGGCATGCCAACTCCATGAACTCTTGTTCATAATGATTCAAGCAAGTCTAACATGCAAAAAATGACATCTTTAAATTTGAAAGACAAAAATAGATTTACTCAAAATGCATTCACTTCACACCAATAAAGAAAGTACAAAGAAAGCAAGAAAACATGTAAGAAAAGGCAGCAGTAAGAGAGAGGAGGAAGCAACGAAAAGAATTGGTCCAAGAGAGCAAAGACACAAGGAAAGAAACACAGAAGGAAACAGAGAGGAAAGCTTGAAAGAAAGAAGGATGAAAGTGAAATGGAGAAGGGTGAGAGAAGGAAACATTGATTAAAAAATCAAATAACCACATAATTATACCTCAAGCGAGTCTCCTTTGATTATTAAAGCACAATCATTTTTACGTCTAAAGGAATTTAATTCAAGATGAGCTTCACTACGAGAATTAACCTAAAATAAGAGAAAAAAAATAAATTGTATTAATATACTAGTATTGAATAAATAAGAAAAATGTTATAGTTAACCTGATGATGTACATGTAATATATAATTTATTCATCTTACTTGTTTGAAGACATATATTGACTGATTACGTGACACAAGACGTGARCTTTGTGCTATACAAGTTGCTGTTTCTAGCTTGTCTCCTGTTAACATCCAAATCTAAATAAAAGAGAAATAGCTTAACTGGAATGTCATCGTCATCATAAAAAATCAAGGACTGACTTACTCTTATGCCAGCATTGCGTAGAAGCTCTAATGTTGGTCGGACATCTACCTAAAATGTATAATACTTGGTGAATATTCAAACAACCTACTTTTTGCAAGAAAATCTACAGCAAAACTTCAAAACACCTGTCATCTTCAAGCAGATAAGACTTCAAGGTTATCTGGACATTTTATGAAATTTTCACTTTGACTCTCTAACAACAGCCTTCTCTACGGTTTGATCCTGCGCCATCTTGAAACGTAGCTGGTGTGCATTGAAGCGAGATGACCATTGAGGGTGCAATGATAGAAACCTTCTTTCACACCTACAGACAATTATTCACAGGTATCTATCATTGCATGTTCAACAGTTGCCTTGCTTCAATGCAAAGGAATGGTATCTTTCTAGATGGTGCAGGAAACCACAAAGAAGATGATTTAGTTGTTTTTATAAAAAACAAACCTGTAGCTTGTCTTCAACACCTGTGAGACACAGCAGTTCCATATCATGTTCAATAGATTCCTGGACAGCAGCAACCTATTAAAACATACAAAAGATGGGTTACCTGTGTAAATAAGGGAAATGTAAAGTGTAATCTCCCCTGTTGATTGCTCCTGAATGGAAATAAAATAACTAACTGAATGACCAACCAATTGTCATGAATGATTCAGTGAATAAGGAACCCTTCTAACAAACAGATGCACAGGGCTGCTAAAATGAATGATACCAGAGAAGAAGCAGAACATTAAAGCTTTGCATTCAAGGAAAGGAAATACTAGATGGTTATGGGGAAAGAGGAGATGGTAACCAAACTGATAATAAATTGTACCTTGGTAGCTCTGTCAGCAATACTAAGCTTGGCTTGGTTGTATCGGTGCTGCAGAGAAAGGTCCAGCATTATGTATATCAATTTTATATCATATAATTTAGAAACATAAATACTAAACTTCAAACAGTAACTGCAGAGATGGTAATAGGGAACTTCAGATTTGGCAACGAGTACGAGATTGAGTAYGAGTAYGAGTTTTYAAACCAGCTTTTTGTTGTGTTGTCCATACCGGATTTCAATCCACTTCATGTTTTTATTTCTTTGATCTTTCAATCTACTCGCASGAATGCAATTCATGATTAATACCATACTTAARGCCAATTTTAAAACTYGTACTCRTACTCAATCTCGTACTCGTTGTCAAATCTGAAGTTCCCTAATGATTGGAGAGATACAGTGTGTAGCCCACCAAGTTTTTAAAGTTTTCCAGAATACTGTCATGACTCAATCACTTTAAAATTGAATTTAGTTTAGTTTTCTGTTAGGTGGAGTTTAGAGTTGCAYAGTAATTCTGTTCTCAGGGTTCTCATCAATCAGAGCTCTCATAAGATTGAATAGCATCATCCATGTATGTGCACATGAATGACGTCTCAAACAGCAATGCATASTCAATATACCAGGTGGATTCAAAGGTTAGATGACTGTTCACCCCAGCACAGTCTGAATAAAACATCTCTATATCTGTATGTATGTCTATCTACAAAATCTACATATCAGCCTCAAGCATACAAATATAGCATGTTTATCTTGTCTTTAATATTCAACTTGGGGAGCAAGGGTGGCCAAGTGGTTAAAATGCCRGTCTATCACTGCTGTGGTCCAGGTTCGATTCCCGGTCCGGGACTATATGTGATTTGAGTTTGTAGGYTGGTTCKCTTCCTTGCTCCRAGGGTTTTTCTCCAGGTCTGCTGGTTTTCCTCCCTCAGTCAAAAAACTAGCTGTGAGGAGTGTCGTGTAGTAAAATAATAAATGTTGAGGTAGTGAGTGTGAGTGAATATATAGAGGGCCACAAGTTTATTAGTCTAGAGACTATTACGTGCTACCCTCTTAAAATAAAAGACTTTATTTATTTATTTATTTATTTATAACTTACCTCAAAGTCAACATATTGTTCTTCTGTTAATGCCTTCTTAGCAACAACTAATGTACGGAGACCTTCTCTCCCCATGTTCCCACACTATAAGGTTAAAATATCATGAAAAAAATGGTGGTTACAGTGGAAATAAGCACATGCCTGAAACAWGGTCATTAATATTAATTATGACATACCTCCTCTTCTAGCCAATCATTGTATTGCACTATATTCGTCATGACAACATCAGCCCCTTTCATGTAAAATRTAATCTCCCCTGTTGATTGCTCCTGAATGGAAATAAAATAACTAACTGAATGRCCAACYRAKTGAATGATTCAGTRAATAAAAGAATGAATGAATAAAAGAAAGAACTATTAATAGATTACTATTTGTCAGTCTTACCTTGACAATGATTCCCATTCGTTTCGTCTCRGAAGTGAATGGAAATATCTGMAGAATATTATACACTAAAACTTGTCCTGATGGTGTCTTGATGCGCATGCTTCCAAGGTCACGATGGACAAGAGTAAGGCCAACTTCCTCTGTCCATGTTACTAAAGCAACCTGRAATTCCAAAGCCAAGAATGACTTGTAAGTTGAAAGCACATCAAAAAATTGTGAATTTCGGTATTACCATTTTTTTACTACTTTGATTGATGTTTTTGACTATATAATTTAGTGAATATTAACATTATCAATTAATTAATATTATGTATTAATATTGCTCAGTTACCTCATCAGGACTGGATGCCTGGTATGTGATTGCTCTCTTTTTCCTGGACGTGCCTGAAGGTTCACGGTCAGGACCACTGAAGATATCCATTTCCAWATCGTCGCTTGTAACAGATTCAGACCGTGCCACACCACGATCAGAATTATCAGCGACTGGSGTGACATTATGGCATAACGCAATCGCTTTCACAGCTTCTTGTACACGAGTGACAACAGTTCGACGGACCTGGATATAAAATAATATTATTAATAAATTAATATTCTGGAAAAAATCATTTTTTCTCATTATATCAGCTGGTGACATCACATTCTGTGAACATCATGATTTTATCCTGTCATGTGACAACATGTGGTTACCTTGGAAACACTAGCTGTTTGTCTTCTAGCTGCTGTACCTTGTGCTTGGGAGTATGCTGTTTGCAAGTGTTGTTTTACCTTATYGAAAGAGAAAATTTTTCATATTATATATTATATTACAAGCACTAGCTAACCATCAAATCCTCTTTTCCAAGTTCTGGATATATATTACATGCTGAAGAAAGTTGAATGACTGAAATGTCAGAGAAACTTATAAAACTACATGATATTTGAGTTCAGTCCATATTCTACTTATAATATCATGGTATATAATACAGCAATATGCAGAAATTCTGATCTTTTTTTCTAAAATTTCAAGTATATATAATTAAAGTATATCAGAAATTATGGGATATCATGGTCAATATTTTTTTGTTGCCTAGAACTTTTTTTAGTACTTTCTGAAAAAAATATTGGTGATGATATCCCATAATTTCTTATATTATATAAATATTTTATACTTGAAATGTGATAAAAAAAGATAATTTCTGCATATTGCTGTATACAATTTGCTTGATACTAGGCAACTGTCAAACATAGGTAGTTGATGATACCTCATCAATGGAGTCTTCAGCAAAGGAAACAGTACCAAGATGAAGTCTCTTGAAAACCTAAAAAAACCATCAAGAAATCACACATGAGATGGCATTTTATTTACTAGTAACAAAATAATTGTTTCTGGTCTTTCTGACTGTGTATACAAATAGCAGGAGGGAACTGGTGTAGGTAATTCTAGATGYTAAACAAAAGATAAAAACAGCACACAGGTGGAAAACACTAAATTGTGGTAAATTTTGAAAGACACACTTGACATCAAGACCACCATGTTGGTGGTACCTTAAGCAACTCAAGTGTATTTTGACTGCATATTATTTTTCTTTTTAATCTCTAGGAAATTATGAGAATTAATAAAAACCAGTCATAATTATTCACATGGCTTATTTGCTATTTTGTCTGTTGTATTTCTTGTTCCCWATGGAGTTCCTCATACACAGTATTKAACAAAAATATCATTTTCTTTAATCACCATTTCATTCTGTGTTAGAGTCCCTGTCTTGTCAGTRAGCAAATATCCAATTCTTCCRAGCTCTTCTGGTATTGTGCTACTTCTTACKACCGTCCCTGCTATCTCCTTATCATGGGATATCATCCAGGAATATACCACTTTACCCATATCCAAACTCACCCGTAGACTGCAATAATTACAATATATTACCATGGATCCCCTGAATGCTGGCATATGGTTATGGGAAACTATGAACTTGGAAATATGAAACTGAGGGTGAGGGAGGAAAGAAATAGAACATGTGAATGAAAAGGTTGGGAAAAGTGAATGAGATTGAAAGGGATGGCAAATGGRAATGGTAAATGAAATGATTCTAGGAAATGAAAAGAATAAAAAGAATGGGAAGTGAAATAAATGAAAAAATGAGGAAGGGAGAAAAAGAATTTAAAAGAAAAGTACTTGTTCATCCAAAATTATCAAAAAATGATAATAAATAATTATATAATGATGAACAAACTTCAAAAGTTTACCTCAGAGGAATGATGTAAGAAAATAACAGAATAAAACGAAAGAAGTACCGATACCAGGGGCCATTAAAACCCTAGAAAGAAAGACAAAATAAAAAAGTATTAAAAGGAACTACAAGAATTAGGACGTAATAGACACCTTGCAGTAGGAATGCAGTGCCACCTGGGAGACAAAATATTGCAYAGACGTTCCCAAAACAATTTCTTTTTCTTTTTGTTGTTGTATTTCTCTTAATATATTATGTCTTACCTTTAGTACTATTAGAACCAGTGATAATAAAATAGTAGCCAAAAACAGCACCTTGGTAAGATTGTTTAACTCTAAGTCTATCAAACCAATCTAAAACAAATTGAARGATTGGTTGATTTTGCCTGCTCTGCTCTTCAATGGAGAATAATTTAGTTTAGAATTGACCTCTTATAATTCAGGGTTCGCGCAACATTTTCACTACAAAATTCCAGGATTTTTCAAGTACTTTTTAAGCACAAAAATGCGATTTTCAAGGACTATTTTTGAAGATATTTCTTGATACTTGCGAAGGTTTCCAGTGGTGATCTTCCCAAAAATAGCCACACTTCAATCCAAACAGCAAAAAAAACAAAATGTTAATTTTATCAGATTCAAGGAGTTTTTCAGGAGTTTTAGCAATTTTTCCCATTTTAAAGGGCTTCTCAAGCGCCCTTGAAAGCGAGTTTTCAATTCCAGGACTTTTCAAGGAATTCAAGGAGTAGCGCGAACCCTGATAATTTCAATATTAAAATACACTATGCAGCATGAAAGTAGTCAGTTCTCAAAACATTTGGAAGTAGGTATGCGAGTTTACCTTAGATTTTGCATGTGATGTGTTCATCACACTTCTAGTTTCTTTGCCAGTGTAGACAACAACTCCTAATGCCGTCCCTATACAYGTAACAATAATACGGAACTATAACATGTTATTGACTAAACAGCTGCTGAGCATTCAAACWATGGTTAAGCATCTTGAACAAATGTTTCCCTTGCAAATCATGCAAACTCCATGTTGCAGTCTCAGTTAAATTATATTGAAAAGATCAAGCATATCCTTTGTATCATGACAATGAAATGACAGTTGAAATTGCAATGACAGAAAAGCAGAGTGAAAAAATGTCCTTGTTGTGAAAAAAGGTATATCTATCACTGCAAACTCAAAAGTCATTTTACTTTAACATATTTTCATTTGATATCTTAAAAACAACAACTCCAACAAGTAGTGTGACTTTAAGCGTGGATTTCACTAGCGTATAAGCATAGAATAAGCACAAGCATGAGAATCATATGCGCCAGTGAGAACGGGCTTGACATAAGCATAAGACATTGAGCATGCACACGAGCGTATTATTTCGGTACCAGGCTATGCTTATGTCTATGCAGTCCTGTTCTCACTGAGCATAAGCATGAGATAAAGCACAAGAAGATCAAGCCTTGCTCATTTTTCTTGTGCTCATGCTTATGCTTATTTTGAGCCCGTTCTCACTGGCGCATATGACTGTCGTGCTTCATGCTTATGCCTATGCTTATTCGCTAGTAAAATCCACGCTTTAGATGGAAGCATTTTGCTCTTTTACATGTACTGTATATTATAATCAATTGTAAATAAACCTCTCAGCCTTGATGTCAATAATTGGAAAATGTTACATATTGATCCAGAAATAAGTCAAGACAGATATATTGCAAATTGTATCATGATAACTGTACCTGAAGCTACTACAGTGTTAGACCATAATGTATTCTCTATGCTTAGAGGAATCTCTGCCCTCTCTCCGTCATACTATGGAAAATGAACATGAATATTAGAGATTATAAAACTCCAAAAATGTATTATCAACTGTAGTTATAGAATTCTAGTCTCCTTTCGAATTTCGTGTCCCACCTTGAAATTAAAGTAACCATTGATAGAAACCTTCTTTTGCACCTATATACGACTGATTTTTTACAGGTTTTTATTATTGCATGCTCGAAGGCTGTTTCACTTCAATGCAAAAAGATGGTTACCTTTCAACATGGCAACCTTTGATAAAATTAATATCAAAAAATGAATGAACAACTTTGTTTTTCTTACCCGTGTAAATGTACCAATAAAATTGTGGATATCTTTTTGTGGCTTTTCAGCATAAACAGAGGCACTAATATTAAGTAAATCCTGTATGACAGATGAAAAATGTAAGAATCAAMTTGCTGTGCTCTTTACTAAACAATGTAAATGAATGTTTCAATTCTCCATTTTACAGGTCTGGCAACTTCTTGAAATTTGGGCAACACTTTACATCAAAGCAAGACAGCAGTTGGGCTTGCAGTTATAGCACATGCATTGTGAACAATACATTTTCCAAGGTGAAAACAAATTAAAGGTATCTAAACTGTATCATCACATGCTTTTTGGCTGTCTCTCTTTAATATAAAGGACGGTATGGATAACTTTCAAGATGTTTCTTGTCACTGTAAATGGAGTATTGGGTATTGCCAGGAAACCTGGTCAGTAGGTAGTCTTTGACATGGTGAGACCGTGATTCTTAGTTTCCAGTCAGTTTCTCCATCAAGTTGGTCAGTACGAAGAAAACACGAACCTAATAAAAGACAAAATGAACGGGTAAACAAATCAAAAAACAAAAGTCATTATAAACAGTTATTTTTCTTACCACTTTTCTCTGAGGTCCTTAAAAATATCATATCAGCAGGAATACGCTGATTCTAAAACAACGAACAACAATATAATTATAATTATTATCATAATTATATAATATCAAAGAGGCAAGGTTTGCTGTTACTCCGAGCTTCGTGCTAGCAAAATCTTGCCTCTTTGATATTATATATGTTTTAGCTCTATACACTATATGTGTATTGAGCACTCTTCAATAGGATCAGCTACTTCCTCATACGATTAATTATTATCATAATTATTAATATAAGTACTATTATTACTTCAGTCTATCATAATTATAATCCAAAATACATTCAACAATATTTATTATAAATTCTTAAATAAAATCATTGTTAAACAATTTTTTATTTACCTTTTCTACATAAATAAGATCTGACACTTTTATCTGTGAGCTAGGAACTCTCACCACTCCTAAKAATGTACAAATACAGTGCACACATTGTTCAATAAACACATGTGGTCAATCAAGTTTCCTTGATATCTATAAAGACATTGGGATCCCTGTGCATAATGAGCACAGGGATCCCAACAATTAAGGCTACAAGAGATTAACAAGTCAGTAATATTAAAGAGAGACAAGTTAASAGACAAGTTAATCAAAGTTGCTCTTTCATAGTCAATCTTTTAACAACATTTTACTAACCTCTTTTTGTCAGTTTATTATACATTGCAGAGTTCATCTCTTTATCTCTTCTGTACCTGACAAAGTCATCGTAGGCCTCTCTGCACATAGTCACAGCCAGAACAAAACCCTACGGACATTAGCAATTTATAGTTAGAAGACTTTCCAGGTTCAATATCTTATAAAATAATGTATTATTTCTTGGTGTTTTTACTCTTATAAATCATAACACACAACCTTCACAAAAACCCATTGAAATTTCCCTTCAAAACCAAACAAACTACAAACACTCACAGACTAATGGAAAAGAGTCTCAAAACCCTACAGATATTATACATTTATAGTAGTAAGACGACTTTCCAAGTTCAAAATCTTATAAAATAATATGCAATACMCATTGATTATATCTTGTTATTTTACTCTTTTAAATCAAAACACCCAACCTTCACAAAAAACCCTTTGAAACTAGCCTTCAAAACCAAACAAACTCCAAACATTCACAGAATGATGGAAAAAAGTCTCAAAATGAGTTTTGAATGAGAAAAATTTAGCTTTCATCCTTATCATCAGGTAAAATTCATACAACGTTGATGGAATGGATGACTTTATTCATCCTGTGTACAACTGACTTCTGATATTTATAACAAATGGAGTCATACAGCCTTTTGNTGTATAAAATCAAATTAATATCAATCATAATTTTATCACAACTTTCCATGCCCAAGTTCAGTGACCACAAACAAAGCATTGTACCGAGGCGCCAAGGAACACTGAGCACAGATCTTTTCTTTTATTCTCACTGTACCTTGGTTCAATGGTTTGTTTGTGGTCACTGAACCTGGGTATGGAAAGTTGTGAATGACATTTATTTCTATACTTACTAAAGGACCCCAATAAGTATACAGATAACCTATCTTTATCGCAGGCACAAACTGGGACAAAGCAACAACCAGGAAGTAGAGATTGAGAAAAAACTTAAATTGATTAAATAGAACCTGTGAAATATGAAAATGAAAAATAGACCATTTAGAGTGCACGTCACATAAGCATGAAACAAGTCTTAATATTTATTGCTAAATAAGATTTAGTTATCAACTAACTAAGAATTCAACAAAGCATAAACACAATGCCAATTATTTAAATTCCTTTGTAGCATTGTTCTCAATTCTTAGTTAGTTGATAACTAATTCTTATTTAGCACTACATAGTCAAGAATTGTTTCATGCTTATGTGACTTGCACTCTACCAATAACAAAGCAAATAGGTCACAAGTCAATACAAAATTATTAAAATATTATTAAATTCTTGATTCAGACAATACCATTTCGATTTTCACCATGCTCAACTCACCACTGGAATGAAGGTAATAATGTTGTATTTTTGATTTCTAATTACATTTGCTGGAAACTTTTGTGTGGCAGACTATACAAAAGAGAAATCACTTGTTTAAATCCATAGATTAGTACAAACACTAACAAACAAAAACAAAACAAAACGAACCTATAAAAAAGCATGAAAAAGTACTAACCAAATAGGGCTAAACAGCACAATATAGTGTTTGAGGAATTAGCATGACTTACACTTTGGCACTATTTAGTTACCAAAGTTCTTTTAGAGTGCAAACATTAAATGTGTGCAACAATATTTACTACAAAATAGTGTTAATTAAACAATAGAAAACAATAGAATTAGCATAATTTAGAAGTATTTA